AAATTTTTAGCTAACAGCAGGCTAGCACTTATGTCTGAAACCATAAAAGACCTAGATTTCTCCCCTGCCAGAGGCAAGACCTGGGAAGCTGTTTGGTTTCCTCCGCCACTTCGTTCCCGGTGGATCGGTCAGGGCTGCGGTGACCTTTGTGAAATGACCACAGAGAGTGTCAAGCTCCTGACACTGGCCTGTTCTGTGGACACGGGTCGTTCAAGGTCCCTGCTGGTGAAGTTCCACCATGAGCGCTTGATGGAGACCCTGGGACAGCCAAGTGGTCTAGGCGTGGACCCCTTGACAGCTCTGGGCCCAACTCCCCAGGTTGAGAAGGACAGTGCCCACCAGCACCCCCAAAGCAGAAGGCTTACAGTGTCAGGGTCAACTCTTGGTTGAGGTTTTTCTCACTGGGCACTTCCCATCACCAACAAGCTTCCCACGTGCCAAAGGGATGAGTCACAGCTGAGTTACATGGCCTGGCTTTTCATAACTGCGCCAGCCCGGGGGACCCTCTCTACCTTTATTCTCCTCCCATGACCCACACCCTTTACTCTGACTAGGCCACCCCACCATCCATTCAACCTTCAACCGTCTACACAGCATCTACCCTCCCTTCACCCTCCACCCCTCCTCAAACACACTTCACCCTCCACCCGCCCCGCTCCATGTTCACACCCTTTCATCCGCCTGGAATCCTTACACTTTGCCCTTTCGAGCTTGGCTTTCCAAACGTGACGTCATTTTATGAGCACTGCGCAAATGCCACTTCCTCTAAAAACCCTTCCTGACCCCCTCTCCAGCCTCTGAATCTTTGTAGCAATCTGTCTCCCCCTCTGAGAGCACCCAGCTTTTCTGCTCTGTCCAGGTGAGCAGTTATCTTGTCCTGGGGGTTCATGGTAGAGTAGAAAAACCAGGCAGAGCTCATTCAAATTCTGGCTCTCACAGTTTGGTGGCTGCATGACCTTGGTGAGACGATGGAAGGGTGGATTGAGCATGGAAGCAGAGTTGACGGCTGATGGAGCCTACGGAACTTAGACGAGTATCTGGGCGCAGGTTGGATGGTCCATTGGATAGATGTGCACAGGGATGTGAACGCATATGTAGTTGGAGGATATAGGGATGGATAACTAAATGGAAGAGTAAAGGGATGGATGGATCGGTAGGTGGATGGATGGATGGATAGAAGGCAGGAGGGAAAAGATGAAATGCAAATGCACTTAGGGATCCAGGCAGAATGATAAAGTCTGAGCCTGGGCCAGGAGGCTGAGCACCCAGAAATTCAGAATGGGGCCGAAAGGGCACCTGTGGGTGCTTACCCACAGGAAATCTTGCTCCTGATCACTTGAGGCCTGAAGTTTTTCAGTGATCCTGGGAGAAGGACGGGGCCTCCTGTGGGATCAATTCATTAGGAAAGATAGTCCTGATGGGCTCGTCTAAGCACTTGGGCCGACTCTAAGTGCCAGGCAGTCAGAGGGCGCTCAATAACTATTCATTGGAAAGTGATGGATTGATCTTGAAGACCTGCCATTCTAGGGAGGTATGGCCGGCTGGGACAGCACAGGCATTTCACTTGTCAGAGCATATTCTCTCTGACTCAGCAACAGGAAAGCCTGACCCTGCTAACCAGCTGGTCCAGGCGCCAGTCTTCAGCGGTTGCTCCCTACATTTGTGCATTGAGTGTAACCCACACGTTAGAGGAGCCCGGGGCACTTGCCTCCCTCCTGGAACTAAGACCCCTGGTACAAGGAGGTTTGGCCTCCTGTGATCCATCTGGCAGGACGTGCGAAGGACATAAGGCCAGATCAGGTCAACTCAAGGCAACTTGAGTTATAACCCCTTTCCCGGGAGTCAATTCATCCATGAAACCAGGGAGACCCCATAGATAGAGAACCCATCCCATGGAATTGTTGGGGGTTGAATGTCAACAGGCCTCTTCTGCACAAAATTAGAAGGCCATCAGACACTGTCCCTTTCCAGGAAGGATAAATCTCCCTAGGTGTTGAGCACAGACACACTCAGAGGCCACAGGAAGCTGCAAACACTTTCAGCTTGCCCTCTGAGCCACCATCCCAGCCCGCAAGGTCTATTCTGACCTGGCGGTGCCGGCTCTCACCTGGGTGGCTGGGAGAAGGTGTGCACTGCACAACCCCAGGGGGCGCCCTTCACACAGATGGTGCAGAAGGGGCGGTGGGTTTCAGGGCTTCATTGTGGGAGGTGAGGTTGTAGGCCTCTGGTTCCCCAGGTGGGGGGAAAGACAAACAAAACTTCCTCACGTAACTTACTGAGCCTTGTGTGGTTAATAATACCGACTCGACTTCTTCCCTCAGACTCCCTCCCCGCTAGGAAGGCAGGCTGGGGGGGAGGGGGGTGGAAGTAAAGACACACTCACTTTGCCTTATCTCTGAAGTGTTTAGCTAGGTGCCAGGCACATAATGAGCGCTCAGTAAATAACCATTATTAGAGTGGGGGGCATCAGACAGATCAGAATTTAATTCTGCCACGCAGATTTATTGTGTTTCTGCCCAGGGAAAAAAGAAAGAAAGAATCTCTACTTTCCATCTCCCTCCCTCTCCCAAGCTGACTTTGCGGCAGTGTCCTCTCATCCCCTTTTGCCCGCAGCCTGTTGAAAAAATAAAATAAAATAAAAAGCCAGCCTGGCATGCTTGGCTGAACCTCTATCTCTCCAGCCCAGGGCTCCCTCCAACTTTATGTTTAATCTCCCTGGGTCGAGAGGAAGCATTCTGATGATCCGACTTAATTCAAAATGTAAATTTCATCTCCTGTGGGCTAATGGCTCTGAGCTCCGCTTCCCATAACGGGGAGCAGCTGCGGCGTGAGTCATCTGGGCCTCAGGCTCCCCGGTCTCGGCTCTTAATGGTGATGAAGGTCTGGCCGAGGCTTCAGACCGAGAGCCACAGACTCCGTGCCCACCGAGGCCAGACCTGAGTTCACCTCTGAGGGCTGAGTTTTCTATTAACCAGGGAACTGTGGGGCAGGGGTTAACGGTAACTCCAGGGGCTGTGCTCAGCCCAGGAGGTTCCAGCTGGCCCAGACCAGTCTCCGGGCAGTCTTGGGCAGCCCAGGGGCCCATGTCCCCTCACCCAGATTCGGGAGTCTTGTCCCCGGCAGAGAATTTCATCACAAACTAGGGCTCCCAACTGGGTGCAGGGAGCTGTCTTCACCCAGACCCAAAAGGTAGCTTTGAGCCCGCCAGGGTCTGGCACTTGAATAGCAGCCAGTATCTCCCAGATGCTGGTTCCCTGTGACTGACATGGTCCCTGAGCCGCTCCTAGGCCACAGAGCAGACCCCCTCTGCCTCCCCAGGAGATGCTAAGGACTTCTCAAAGCCAGCTGACCATCCCCTTGTCTGAACTCCCCCGTGCCTCTGGAGACAGCAGCAGGGAGAGGGAGTCCCTCTCTTCTCCGGCTGGCAGTGGGGCCAGGTTCTGGGCCTGGATGGCAGGTCAGGGGACCTGTGGGTTATGCCCATGAGTTTGAACCTCCCATTCCCCGCTGTCCTTCCCTGGGTCCTGGCATTGGAAGAATTCAGCTGTATGCGAGAGGCCGTGTCATCCCCAGTGGGACAAACAGGGAGTGGGGGGCTTCCAGGGTGGGATGACAGGCATGCTGATGTGCTGCAGGTGAACTATGTGAGGGGTGGACAGGGCTCACATCCCTGAAGTCAGCCCACGCTCTCCACCTTGTCACTGCCCCTGCACTTGGACCCGGGGTCACTAAATCCCAACTCTAAGGGCCCCACTGAAGAGCCATGTCGCTCTGACTTCCTGGCCGGTTGGAGGTGGACAAGGCAGGGGACTCTTGTACAGCTGGGGAAACTGAGGCTCAGAGAGGAAGGGCCTGTTCCCAGGCCACACCAGGAGACTCCTGGCTGCAGTGAGTACTTATTTCATAACCCAGAATCCATCCCACAAGCTTCAGCTACAGGCATGGGAGAGGAGAGTGGGTCCCCAGCATGGCCAGAGCCCCTGGGCCCAGGGCACCTGAATCTAGACACCCCCTACACAGCGACATGAGCCAAACCCTCCCTTCCGTTGCCAGTTTGTGTGCGTTTCCTGATCCACTGTCAGAGCTGGGATGAGGTTTCTGACTCCTGACTCTGGGGTCCTTCCCTCTGCTGAGGGCCGGTGCAGGATCATGGCACAGATTCCATGCCAGTGTCAGCCTGGAATTTGGGGCTCCTGGTAGTCCCAGCTCTGCCATCTGCTGGCCTCACATGACTTGTGCAGGCTTCTGTCATCCGGCCTGTTTCTCCTCCTGTGGCTGGTTTGTAAGGCTCTCCCCATCATTTGGAGAGGCTCAGGGGCCTGGCATTAAATGACGTCGAATCCCATAATGAGAAAGTGGGTCCCTTCCCCTTGAGTCCTCCTGGTTCTCTCAGGGAGAGAAGCTCAGAGGGCTCCTATGCCCCCTTCTTCCGTGTTCACCTTCTTTTTGACAAGGTGGACATGTTATATGTGTGTGTGTTTTGTTTGTTTTTGTGGTTGTTTTTTTTTTTTGTATATGATATGTCCAGAGCAGGCAAATCCACGAGATAGAAAGTAGATTCTCGATTGACAGGGGTCAGGGGCAAGTGGCATTGGGGAGGGACTGCTAATGGGTGCAGGGTTTCTTTTGGGGGTGATGAAAATGTCCTATGAACAACTACTGAGTTGTACATTGTAAGTGCGTGGGTTTTGTAGTATGTGAATTCGAGCTCCACAAAGAGGTTTAAAAACAGAATAAATACAGTAAACATAAAATTGTCTCTTAACTCGCGTTAGAAACCAGTTGGTCACCAAAGGATCTGAGTGGAGGCCTGTGGCCTTTTGTGCCTGCATTAGTGTTGCATTTATGTGGTTATCTTATCAAGGAATGCTGGGGGTTTTATTTTTGTTGTTGTTTTTAATTTTTTTTATTGGGAACAGTGTTTTTCCAGGACCCATCAGCTTCAAGTCAAGTAGTTGTGTTTCAATCTAGTTGTGGAGGGTGCAGCTCAGTGGCCCATGTGGGGATCAAACTGGCAACCTTGGTGTTATGAACACTGAGCTCTAACCACCTGAGCCAACGTCTGTCCCAGAATGCTGGTTTTTTAACGAATGGTTGGGATGCAGTGTTTTCTTCTAAAGCAAATTTCTTTCAATCTACTGATTTTTTCCTACGTCTGTGAATTGATTACTTGTTCGAGTTACTAGTTATCCACCGAAGTTGGAATGTGCACGAGGACATTTGGAAAACACATGGCAAACTCTGTCCAGGGGCCGGGGAGTCCCTTTGCTGTTGGTTCTCTGATTTGGGAAGCTTTTCCTCCCCGTCCTCTCTCTAGCAGCCACTGAGCCCCTTCCTCCATCCTCCCTGACTATTCTCCAAACCCCCATTGTGTGGAGCGAAGATGGGGCCACAGCTAAGTCTGTGCAAACAAACAGTTCCATCTAGTCAACAATCTCAGAGGCACAGCTGTAGCCCTAGCTCTCCCCAGCCGTTTTTTTGTCCGGAAGCCGCATCGACAATGAGTTTAATTATGCAATTAAAGTCATTTTCCTGGGCTGAACAAATATTTACAGCATATTTTGCTGCAGATTGCTTCGCCTGGAGAAAGGCTCTGCCGTTTGGGCTGGCCTTCCTGACTCCCATTCACACATTTACATTCCCCATTACCAGGGGGCCATGCTATGTGCGCAGGTGGCAGACAAGCAAGCCCCCAGGAGCCAGCGTCAATGCAGAGGCGCGGCAGGTGTCAGCCAGGCAAACGGTTTCTTGTTCCCGCCGCGGTGCCACTGTGGATTGATGACGCCCGTTGTTCCTCTGCGGCAGCCCTAAAGCCTGGCTCTGCAGCATCAAAGGAAACTCTGGGCTCTGCCCTGGTGCTGGGGGTCCCAGATGGCAGAGAACATCGTGGGGGGAGCAGCTCTGCGATCGTTCAGGACCACGCTGATCGTGGGCCGGCTGCTCTTCCTGGCTGTCATCTGAGCTGGTCCTTAACAAGAGCGCTGGTGGAATGTCTCCCGAGGGCCCCACTGTGTTCAGCTTCCTGTGCGAGCTGGGGCAGGAAAAAACTCAAGGCAAAACTTGAGAAAAGCAGAAGAAAGTCACATTCTTTATTTTACCTCCTCATCTCCAACTCAAGCCCCCATTTCAGCCCATGGAGGGAACTTGATCGTGGTCCCGTGGGGCGAGGTCACTTGACTCTGGGTGTTTTCAGTTTGAGGGCACCTTCTCCCCAGTTTGCAGCAAAGTTCTGGGGCGGAGCAGGGGTTGTATAGCATCGAGGCATTGGGGTGGGGGGAGGACAGGAGTGACAGTCAAAATATTTACTAACTGTTGGGGCAGTGACCACTTGGAGATGACCCAGAGCTGGGTTTGGGAGCCCCTCAGCTATGTGGAAAGTCTGGGGGTCCCAGGAAAGAACCTGGGATGGATGAGCCGGGGCCATCAGGGGGCTGGGACAGCGGCTCACCAGCTGGTGAGGGGGGATTTCAGCCTCTCCCCTCCAGCCCTGTCACACTGAACACCAGCCCTGAAGGGAGAGGCGGGCCGGTCCCCTCTCCTCCACCCTTGCTCTGGGTGACGGTGTGCCCTGAACTCGCGTGACGTCTGCCGCAGTCAATGTGTGCTCTGCCCCCCCACCCCGCCGCCCCAGCCCCTCTCCAGCTATTCTGTGTCCCTCCCAGGAACAGCACGAATGAATGTCCTGCTCCCTCCAAAGCCACTCCGTATCCCAGAGGTCTTGGCGGGCCTGTTTCATACCTTCTCAGTCCGGACATGTCACGCCACAGGTTCCCCTTTCTCTGCACACAGCAGAGAGACGATGAGGCTTAGCCTCCACTGGAACGGGTCCATATTCCCCATCCAAATGGGCAAGCCTGTCCTGCCCCTCCTGGGGTGCCACCGGACGGGGACACGGGCCCGTCTCAGTGATTCTCTGGGCACCCCACCCTGCCTCCTCTCTCTCCCCAGCTTTCGGTCTGGCCACCCCTGGAGAGGGCCAAGGTGACGCATGGGCGGGGCCAGGGCTCAGGGTCGGGCCTGAGACCTAATCCTGCTTCCTGTGCTTCTGACAGGTGAACTCAGGTGGGCAGCGTGACCTCTCTGGGCCCAGCCTCCTCAGGGTACCATGGGAGTGACCTCACCGTGTCATGCTCTTCTGGGAGGATGGCTTTCCGTCAGGTATGTCGAGGGCCTACCATGTGCTGGACACACACGAGGCATCCACCAAACTGCCACTGACCCTGATCAGGGTCTGCCCTATGTCTTGGAGGGCTGTGTGCAGAGCTGCCTCCCGCTCCCACCAACTGACAGGGCTCTGGAGTAGGGCCTGGTTCGCTTCCATCTGTCTGTCATCACACCTGGCACTGAATGGCCCCTTGGAGGGCAATATTGATGAGTCTAAACAAAGTGGTGAAAATATAGATGATGGTAGTGCCTCCCCTAACCCAAGCCAGGCTCTGGCCTCTCAGAAGGATTCCACCTTCATCAACTGGTGTGCCCACGCACGGGGCAGTCGACGTGCTCACCCAGCCCCATGGGAGCTTTGGCCCAGGTCAGGCTGCCCACCCTCTCCCTGGTGCAGCCCCCTTGAACTCTGCTCTGTCCGCATGGAGCCCTGAGCCAGACAGCAGAGGAAAACGCAAGCACTACAAAATGATCGTTCACCTGTTTTGTGTTCTTGCTGCACAAATAACACACAATCATTGTAGAAAAATTGAGAAATATGGATAAGCCAAAAGAAGAATTTTTTAAATGACCTGTACTTCCAGAGGTCCCAGCTGTTACTGTTTTATGATGCATCTTTTCAGAGCATTTCCTAGGCATAGATGTAAAAATACTCAGTACACTCTCATTATCAAACTTTTCACAGAACGGCAGGTGGCATGTACTGCCTTGTCAATAAAGTATCTTCTCAGAGTCATTCCAAGTGGCGGCCAGTGGTCCATTCCGAGAGGGACTGCAGTTCCTTTAAGCAATTCCCTATTGTTGGGCACTTAGGTTGGCTCTTATTTTGGAGCCATGATAAACAACAGTCCCTAGAGAGCATCCTTGCAGTGTACTTCCATGGTTTTCTCTCAGGACACATTTCCTAAAGGGAGAATTTCTGGGCCTATTGCTAAGAATTTTGTTCAGATGCTCGAGGAGAGGGAAGGTGGCCACCCCTTGCTACACGAGGAGAACGCTCCCGATATCACCAGTTGGCTTCGCTCTCCAGCCTTTTCCTGAAACTAGCAGTGGGAGTGGGACTGCGGGAGGCTGCACGAAGCAGATTTCCACTCCTGAGTCGGGGCTGGTCGCCGTGGGAAGCAGTGGGGTCCCTGTCCCCAGCTCTGCACCAGCACAGCTACACCAAAGCCTGGAGTGAAATGCATGAGAAGAACTGCCCTCGCTGGCCACGCTGTGTGCCCAGTCCCTCACCTGCATCCTCTCCCTTGATCTTTTCACCACCCCTTGAGAAGGTATGGCTATTATGCCCATCTTACAGGTGGGGAAGCTAGGGCTCAGAGTTTGTGCGATCGCCTAAGGACTCACGACTGCTAGGAAGAGGAAGGGTGGAGACTCATACCTGGACTCTCTGGGCCCCAGGGTGTATGCTGAGCTGGGCTATTTCCTTTCATCACTGGACCCCAGCAGCAGCAGTAGTACCCCATGGCACAGGTGAGAGTGTCAATTCAGGCGACACCGCTGGCCAGAGGCAGAACTGGAACGTGTCCAAGGTCCCCAGTGTTTACTATACCTCTGGGGAAAGAGAGGGGGCAGGAGAGAGAAAGCAGGCGCTAGCCCTTTGCCACAGATACCTTACCTGATGCCCTTACTGCGACTGCTAACAGCAATGACAAAGCAGAGGTCACCGCTCTGGCTCAGGGCCCTCTGCAGCGGAGCGGGTCAGGGGGCCTCCAGGGCCCGTGCCCTGTGGTCTTAAGGCGCTGGCAGGAACACCCATGTGGCACCCAGCCTAGAGGCTCTGGGTTAGGGTAGGCCTGAGGACTGAGGAAGAGAATGGAGGGAGGAGACCCTGCAACCCCTGGTTCCCAAGTTTGGGGCCCAGCCATCCCAGCCCTACCCAGTCTGCCCGCCACACTCCCCTCAACTTCCCTGCCCCCTCCAGGGAGCATAGGGAGAGGTATGTTGACAGGTTCAATATTTGTTTGTACCTACTGTGTTCTGGTCTTTAACCTGGGCTCCAGCACGGAGGTCAGGGGCAGCTCCTACGTTGCATTCCAATCAAAGACGTCAGTCCCAGTGTTGGTTTGGGGCCGTGGGGAGAACTGACCAGGAAACAGGACACTGAGCTTGCACGCTTCAAACAACGAGCCACTCGCCCTCCCAAGGCCTCAGCGTGGCTTCCTGCAAACCAGCACCACAAGATAACGTCGCCATGTCCTGATCATTACAGCCACAGGTCCTGGCACAGAAACCTGGACTTGGAGGTGGACCAGACACTCAGCTGGCACAGTTTGGGGAAACTGAGGCAGGAGCCAATGGCCAAGTGTTGAGTCCTTTGGGTCCCCTGAAAACCCTTATTCTGTTTGAGGCACCTCCTCTAGGCTGTCCCCCAGGCTTGCAGGGTTGGATGGCAACACGGTCAGTTGCAAATCTACTGGGTGGATGGGAGATGCTCTGTAGTAGTGTAGGGACTTCCAAGATGGCCAGCTTGGCCTGCAAAGAGATAAGACCCGCTGAAGGCCTAGATCAGGACTCCAATCCCCAAGCATGCATTTTAACAATGGTGCCCAAACTCTGTCCTGGAAGCCCCTCTCAGGGGGCCGAGAAACTGCCTCAGAGGCCACATGGATGTGGAGAAACGGAAGCCAGGTGGCCTGGGACCCCCACTTCCTCCACGCAGCCTCAGGCAGGTGGCCTCCTGTTTTGTCTCCCTTAGTCAGTTTCTGAGTCAGAGTACATGTCAACCAAGAGTTCTGCAAAGAAGAGAAGGAGCCAGTTTGAAAACCACTGATTTAAATTAACAGCAGATGCACTGAATTCCATGCAACAGCTTTTCCTGCTCAGCAGTCTTGGTGTTAGAACAGGGCACAGTGTCAGGACAGCCAGGGAGCTCTCAGGTCCTTAAAGGGAAAGAAAACTCCGGCTGCTGTTCCCAGCCCCATCGCGCACTCCTGGCCTCAGTTTCCCCATCTATAAAATTGGTTTCAGCTTCATCTTCCACACGGAGCTGTTGCAGGGTGCAGAAGCGCTTAGGAGAATGAGCAGTTGTGAAAGGAAAGCTCAGGTGTCCTGATGAACGTGAGAACAGGCCTCCAGCTGGTTGGTATGTGGTGAGGGGTGGAGCCATTTGAATGGCCTGGGCCCAGGAGGGAAAACCACCTCAGGAGTTCATCCTTATCTACAGAATGACTGTGCCTGGATGGTTTCCCAACACCCAATAAATGCTGGGAGCAGAGGGACCAGGTGAGGGCTGGAGGCCGACCCCAGGGGCAGCCCCCGGACGTGAAGTGGTATACGGAAGGCACCCAGTTACTGCTCGGCCCATGGAGCTCCCCTTGGCTGCTCCTTCTATAGGGTACTCTCTCTCCTCCCCTGGGGATGGCATTGAGAAAAGCGCTGCTCAAAAGAGTCTATTGACAAAAGCCTGTGAAACTGGCTACCATATAATTCTTATGGAAGGCCAAGCCCCCAGACCCAAATTGTTGTCAAAAAGCACATTTTAAACTCTCCCGTTCTAGTTACATAAGACCCACCTTTCAAAGTTTGTGGAAGTATTATAGGACACTAGCTAGTGATGCCTAGACGCCCACTAGTGGTTAATTCAGAAAACTCACAGCCTGATGCCACGTCACCTCTTGACTTTTTCAGCTCAGACCTTCCAATCAGACAGACTCCTTTCTACTTGCTCCATCCCCCAGAATCACGCTTCCTAAGGGGCATCCTGATGTCCCCACATTCTTTGTATGGGATTTGAATCACAAGGTATTTCATCAAAGGTCCTCTCCTTTTGGTGGTTAAAAAAAAAAAAAGCAAACAAATCCATCTTTTCTATAAAAGTTTATTTTGTGATTTTCCAAGAAGTGGTAAGGGGGAAAATATTGAAATCATGTGAAGGTAAGGAACAATGGTATATAAAAATAATTTAAACACACATATTAATAGTAACGGCAACATTTCTTTCTAGCAACAACTAATAGGTCATCTTGCCCAAGATTTTTCTGAAGCTATTAAATAGGTTTTAGATAACAGTACATAAACACACGTGCACAAATGCACCACACACACATACACACACACTCGTATTTACAGCTCAAGTATTTTTTTTCTGTGTAGTCTAGCTAACCGATATAGCTAAAGTGAAAAAAAACAACAAAAAGACTAAATACCTGAGTGTTCTTAAGATTGAACAAATGTGCATTGGATCGTGAATTTTGGAAACATGCTGAGATTTCCCTTCCCCACCTTGTTAGTAACTAGCCTGTACTCTGGGGTCTAATCTAACAATTAAAGCGTGTTGTTCAGATCTGCTCGTGGTGTGGTCATCGCGGGGCTGCAGGTGGTGTCAGCTCAGGAAACTCGACTCTCTCTTGCACCCAGTACACCGCACAGATTGGAAATGGGGTGATTTGAAGGGTGACGCTCCGGGTCTAATGATTACATCTGGCTGACTCTCTGCTTCAGAGCCAAGACCTCTCTCTCGATTTCGTAGGGGAGGTCGGCGTTCACTTGCTCCTCCAGGTACGTCTGGATGTCTTCTGCCTCCTTCTCCCAGAACTCCTTGGAGATATCAAAGAGCTCCTTCATATTGATGTCGCCCAGGCCTTTCAGATTCAGGGCCCCCTCCTCAGGGATGTAGCCGATGGCCGTGAGCTTGGCGCCACCATTCCCGTCGATCCGGTTGAACATCCACTCCAGCACCCTGGAGTTCTCGCCGAAGCCCGGCCAGAGGAATTTGCCTTCCTTGTCCTTCCGGAACCAATTGACATGGAAGATCTTAGGCAGCTTGGCCGCTGGGCGCTGGGCCATGCTGAGCCAGTGGGCCAGGTATTTGCCGAAGTTGTAGCCAAAGAAAGGCCGCATGGCGAAGGGGTCATGCATGATGACTTTGCCTGTTAACAGAGGGGGAGGGGCTCCGTTGGTAAATGACGCTCTCACAGGACCACGTTGGCGAGGTTAGTGTTGACATAAGCATGCTTGGTTTTCTCTTTCTCTCTACAGAGAGAGAGAGAGAGAGAGAGAGAGAGAGAGAGAGAGAGAGAGAGAGAGA